CTCCAAATGTCACATCTGAAACTCTGAAACCTATCCAGGAAAACAGAAAGGAAAATGAAGGACACGAGCAGAGGCATAGGTAATTATTTTCTGAATAGGACTCCAATGTTCCCAAAAATAAGAGCAAGATTGGACCAATGGGACGGCACCAAATTAAATTTTTTTCTGTACAGCAAAAGAAACAATTCCCAGCACCAAGAGAAAACCCACCTAATGAGAGAAAATCTTTGCCAGCTATTCAACAGATAAAAGATTACTGTTCAGAATACACAAAGTGCCCAAAATAACAAAATTAAACAGTGAAAGAGCAAAGAACCCCGTTAACAAATGATCAAATGAATTAGACAGTTCTCAGAAGTACAAATAGCTAATAGATACATGAAGAAAAACCGTTGACCATCCTTAACCGTAAAGGAACTACCGATCAAAACTATGCTGAGGTTCCTCCAGCTCATCCCAAAACTGGGCGCCAGTGGCTCACCCCTGTAATCTTAGCTACTGAAGACACTGAGATCTACTGCTCAGCGTAGTTTGAAGCCAGCCTGGCAAGGAAAGTCCATGACACTCTTATCTCCAATGAAATTACAGAAAAAGCCAGAAGTGGCACTGTGGTACACATGGTAGAGCGCTAGCCTTGGGCAAAAGGAGCTCAGGGACAGTGCCCAGGTCCTGAGTTCAAGCCCCGGGACTGGCAAATAATAATAACAATAATAATAATAAAGGAAAAGAAGAGTAGTCTTCTCTCTCTGACCTTGTCCACTGGCTAAAATAACTAGTGAGCCTGGGTTCTGGGTGAGGAGATCTTACAGACAGACTCGTTGGGGGTGGGGTGAGGACAAGTCTTGGGAAAATGACTCCTCTGGGCCCAAAAAGTGTTTAGGACTAAAAAGCTCATCTCAAAGCCGGACACTGTCTGGAAGCCGGGTCTGGCAGGGCACAGGAACTTCTGGGCTGGGGGCTGTATATTCTCGGCCCCCGTGTGCTCTGGCTCTTCCAAAGCAACCACAACAAAGACTTGAAGACAAGACAGCAGGAGATTTTTTTTCAAAGTGAAATGAGACAAATCTAGACTCTCCAGGGATGATATAAATACTCAAAGGGCCTTGGAAGAAAAAAAGTTCCCCATTCATAGTGCTGCTGAGAATCTATGTCATAAAGACCCAAATGTAAAAGGTAGACCAATCTTGAAGTCTCTGGGTCCAGTTGAAAAAAGTCTAGGGGAAAGTGGGGGAGGAGAACTGGGAGAAAATGAAGAAGGAGTAACACTGTTCAGAGAGAAATGTACACCATTTTAATGGGAAGAAAGTGCAATCTGAGACTGACGGCAAAACCGCCAAGCAGCACCTTTGAAATAAAACCCTCGTGCAGCAGAGACGGGTAAGGGGTGAGGTCTCTGCAGGGCCACCACTGTTGGCCGACTGTGTGCTCCTCACTCCATCCCCAGTTCCCAGATCCAGATCTGCTGGCCAGGCTTAGGGGCACCACGTGGATGGGGCAGCCTGAGGCCAGGGCCAGGGCCTGCGCAGCACCAGGAGACAGGGCCCCCCTCCTCCACTGCCACCCCGGGGAAGAGCCCAGCTGGTAGTGACCTGCCCGCCCCACGAGCAGCCGGAGACGGGCAAAGGTAGGAGCAGGCTCACCGCCCCGCGATTTTTGAATTCCTACCTGTCATCTGTAAAACCAGGGCTTGAAAGCATTTACAAAGCATCCTAGCCAGGCGCTGGTGGCTCACGCCTGCCACCCTAGCTACTCAGGAGGCTGAGATCTGAGGATTGTGGTTCGACGCCAGCCTGGGCAGGAAGGTCTGTAAGACTCCAAAAAGCCAGAAGCGGTGCTGTGTGGCTCAAGCAGTAGAGTTCTACCTAGCCTTGAACAACAACAACAAAACAAAACTCAGGGACAGCGTTTGGTTCCTGAGTTCAAGCCCCAGGACCATCACAAAAAGGAAGCATACTAAAGAGTCAGGCCGGCAGCTGGTCCCGGGAGTTCCTGGGTTAGGATCCAGGGGTGAAGCCCAGAGGTCAGGGCCAGTATTTGCAAGGGGCTCCCAGGGGCTCCCAGACAAATTAAAAGCTCATGAACTTCATCAAGTGTGGCAACAGTGCTTATTTTTATTTGAATTCTGATACGTAAACATTGTGCACTGAGTATTTAAAACATTTACCCGTTGTATATACAGAAACGGCAAAACCTGACACAATTCACCCCTCACATCGCAACGTAAATACTGTACGCCAGCCGGGCACCAGCGGCTCACACCTGTAACCCCAGCTACTCGAGGTTGAGCTCTGAGGTTTGCTGTTTGAAGCAACGGGAGCAGGAAAGTCTATCTGATTTTTATCTCCAATTAACCAGAAAAAGAAATCTGAAATTGGGAATTGTGGCTCAAGCAGTAGAGTACTAGCCTTGAGTGAAAGAGCCAAGGAACAATGCCCTGGCCTCAAGTTCAAGCCCCGGGACTGGCACTATAGCTATGAATCTGTATCTGATTGCTCCTTCCGGGCATTTTGCTGTTGGTCCTGGGGTCACCGGCTTGACCTCTGCCCCTGCCTCTTTCAGGAATTTCAAAGGAACATGAACACCTAAACATCCCTCCCCAAGCCCCGTGGGAGAACATGCATCCCCAGCATTCCACATTCCAGCCACTAACAGCTTAAGACTCGTCATCCAAACTGTGGCTTGCACAGAAAGCACCGTCATGGAAGTGTTTGCTAAATATACCCCTGTATCCCTATCTACCGTCGATTTATTTACACCTGGCTTAAATACTCAAATGTATCATTAAACTTAAATGGGAGTGGAGGCAAACTGTGTTCTAGGAGTAACTTACAGAGCAATACTACTTTCACCTAAAATAGCCTTAAAGTAGCCTGAGTATGCCTACCCAGTGTGTACAAGGCTTTGGGCTCCATTCCTAGTGCTCCAACACACACAGACATACACACACACACACACACACACACACCTTGCACTATGGGTCCCCTGTGCCCTGTCCTGTACTTTGCACGACTCTCAAGCAGCTATGTACATTCAAGTTGCTTAAAATCAAACCAAATTTAAAATTCCTCAGTCAGTAGCACTAGCAACACCAAGAAGCCACAGGTGTACACAGTCATTGTGTGGATTCTGGGGGAGGGTATGAATTGGGGTGTGGAGCACTTACGCAAGCCCCGACAGGAGGAGGTGCTGTGGATCTAGCAGTTATCTTCCTGGCCATAAATGCCATAGAGATATGTTTGTGGAATGAGTGGAAGAATGAGCTCTAACTTACCCTATCAAAGCTCACAATGTGAGCCAAAAGCAGAATCCATTTCAGCCCCGACATTTACACAATCGACCACTGGAATTAGCTCTGGTATATTTCTCCACCTTCCTACTTCCATTTGAGCCACTCTTCACGAAGGCTGAATCAGACCCCTTGTCTCATTCCCCTGCGTTTCGAAACCGTCGTATTTGTTTCTCGGGATGAGTTCTCTAAATACGAATTTCCTCAATTGGCTGTCTGAAGTCCGACAGACTGATTTCTTTTTCCAGTGTGCTAGGATCAAGTCTTCGATTATTTCTTAGAGAAAGAAAAAAAAAAACTTCCCGTTTTTAAGGGTTTTGTGTGTGTGTTTGAAAACATGAAGTATCTTGGCATCGTGGGTATCGGGAAAGGAAGCTGGAAATGTCGTGCAGAGAAGCGTGAGTTGAAACTGACCCTGCTATTCGTGGGATGCCAGTAATCATGCCCTCACCCAGCTGCCCAACGCGCGCCAAAAGAGCCGGCGAGAGACGAAGGACATCTCTCTGCACTTTTTTCTTCCCCCAAAAAATAAAGGTAAAAACGTGGGCTGCTTAAGGCAAACCCCACTGCTTCTGGAGCAAAATACCCTTTCTCCTGCTTTTACCCAATGAAGGCAAAATCAACTAGAGAGCCCCCCAAGGAGCAAAATAGTCCCCAACTTCCTTTTGTTCGCGACCACAGGCCTTTCCGTTAAGAGCCAAAAAAGAAAAAAAGGCAGGTTCCTCCTCCAAGACCCCCGCTGGGTGCGATCGCAGACTCCTGTCCCGCCGGGCTGCGGGGTGGCTCCAGCCCAGGTGCCCCGCGTGCGTCCCCGGGGAAGCCGGCCCAGACCCCCGGCTGTCCCCCGCACCGGCCGCCTTCGACGCGGGCCAAGTGGGCGCGCGCCCGCGCCACGCGTCCGACTGGTCCCGGGAGGTGGCTCACCGGCCTCCGACTCCGGGCGCGTGGCTGGGCGCGGGAGCCGCCCCGGGGCCGGACGCGGGACACCACCCCGTCTTCCACCACAATCTGGTGTTTTATCCCCCCGCCCTCGGCCCTGGGCAACGGATCCAAAGGGGCGGGCGGCCTGGGAGCCCCGGCTCCCCAACGCCCCCCGCACCACGTCCCGAGCGCGCGGGGCGCGGAGCGCGGGCGGCGCCCCCCGCACACGAGCGCCCGGCCCGGGTCCCCTCCCACCGCCGGGCGCCCGCGATCACCCCTCCCTTTCTCCCTCCCCCAGGGTCGATGGCGGCCGGGCTCCGTGGCCCCCTCGCCCGCACCGCCCAGGCCCCCGCTCCACACCGAGAAACCCAAGCCAAAGCCGGGGCGGGAGAGCGCGGGGCGCCCGGGAGGAGCGGCGCCCCTCGACGGCAGGGCCGGAAGCGCCGCGCGCGTCCGGCTGCCCCCCGCCGCCCGCACCGGGGCTTCCCACCGGCAGCGCGGGGCGGCGGGCGGGACTCGGGGCGTCGCGCCGACCGGCGGGCGCCCCGGCCCCGCGCGCCCCTCCCCGCGGGCTCCCCGGATCCCCCCCCACCCGGGCCGGGCGCCGCGGCCGCGAACAATGCTGGCCCCGCCCCGCGCGCCCATTGGCCGGGCGTGTTGGGGCTGCGCGGGACGGGCAGGCGCGACGCGCGTGCGCGGGGCGGGGCGCGGCGGGGGCGGCGCTTTGTGTGCGGCCGGGCGCGCGGCGGCGGCGGCGGAGGCGGCGGGCGCAGGGCGCGGGGCGCGGGGCGCGGGGCGGGCGGCATGGAGGAGCTGAGCAGCGTCGGCGAGCAGGTCTTCGCCGCCGAGTGCATCCTGAGCAAGCGGCTCCGCAAGGTGCGTGGTCCCCGCCCGCCCCGCGCCCGCGCCCGCGCCCGCGCGCGCCTCACCGGCCTCCGCTCTTCTTTCCCCGCAGGGCAAGCTGGAGTACCTGGTCAAGTGGCGCGGCTGGTCCTCCAAGTGAGTCCCGCGCGCGGGCGCGCCTTCCCGCGCGCCGCCCCGCCCCGCCGGGCCCGCGCCGGCCTGGGGACCCCGGGCCGCGCCATCGCGGGATCCGAGCCGGCCCGGGCAGGGCGGGAAGTCCGCGCGGTCGCCGGCCGAGCCCGGGCGCGCCCTTTGTTTACGCGCCCGTGGGGAGCCGGGCCGGGCGCCCCCCCCCGCCCCGCCCCGAGCCCCTCCGGCCCCGCGCCGCGCGCGCCCCGCCCGGGCTCCCCGCTCCCGCGTCCTCCCCGCGGTAACCCGAGCCGCCGCGGGCGCCGGGGGACCCGCGCCTCCTCTCCTGGGGGAGGGGATCGGCCTCCCCGGCCCGGGGGCTGCCCGGCACCCGCCTTGTGGGGCTCCAGCCGCATTGTTCTGCGCCCCTCGCCCCCCTCCCCGCGTCCTGAGCCGCCCCCCACTTCCCGCCCTGGCTCCGGACCGGGCTTTGGGGATTCCCTCTCCGCGCAACTTGGCGCTTTATGGGGGTTTGACTTCCTCCCGGGGCAGGCAGGGAGGCCTCTGGTGGCCGGCTTTAATTGGGGGCTTGAGGTGGCCCAGACCCCTGGGGTCTGAGCGCACAGTGGGGGCCTCCGGGAGCGGGGTTTGGACCTCCCAGGGCCCTCGGAGGGGAGCGGGGCGGGGAGCTGTCAGGGCCGCCGCTGTCACCCCTCTGCGGCCTCGTCACCCAGCCTCTTTGCTTTTTAGACATAACAGCTGGGAGCCGGAGGAGAACATCTTGGACCCGAGGCTGCTCTTGGCCTTCCAGAAGAAGTGAGAACGCTAACGTCAACAGGAAGGGGGCAGGTTGAGGGGACAGTGGCTGCTGCACGGTGCTGAGGGCCACTGCCCCTCTGGTGGGCTGGGGTCAGAGGTTCATAGCAAGTGTCCCTCGGCCTCTGGTGCCATCTTCATGACTGTCGGCTCCTCCCGCCCTCCCTCCAAGCACTGTATCCAGGAGTCCCCAGAAACAGTGGCTTTGGTCTGTCTTTTTTTTCTGGTTCTGGTGCTTGAACTCAGGGCCTGAGCACTGCCCTTTAGGTTTTTCATTCGAGGCTGGTGCCTTATCACTGGAGCCACAGCTCCACTCCAGCCAGACCTGGGGAAAGTGAACCTTCTCCCTTCATTGCTTCTCGCAGAGGTCGTGGTTTCTCTTGGCCTTTTCTGTGGAGTGGCTTGCACGGAAAGGAAGGTCTGCCTCGCCCCTGTGCGGTGTTCCTGGGCAGGAGGGAGGAGGGCTGACCGACCCCCCCCCACCCCCCAAGGTCCCCTCTGTGATGGCCACAGCGTTTTATTTTGCTTTGGGCTGCTGAGTCAGCACTGAGGCCGTGGGGCTCGGGCTGGCTTTGCTTCTGTGGCTTCTGCTTTGAGTTGGGAGTCCTGGTCAGCAGTGGGGCCTTTACCGTGTGTCTTGGGGACCAGGTGGGTGAGAGGCCTGCCTGGCCTATCTGGGTGTGGGAGTGTGAACAGAGCCAAGGTGTGGGTGGCGGCTTGTGGTCACCTTCCCCTTGGTAAGGGAATGGGCTACTCAGCAGCCCTCACAGCTGGGGTCAGTCGGCACTCTTGTTCCTTAGCTCAGGCCGTGTTTGCTTTTTCTCACTGCGGTGGGACATGGGGTGGGGTGGTAGTTTTAGCCGGGTGACAGTTGGTGGGCCGATGCTTGATCTGGTACCACTCTCCTCATGCTTTCCGTTTACTTCACAACTTTGGTCCTGTGGACCTGCAGCTTGCAGGCCTTCCTGGGAGTTGGTACGTTTCTCTGTATTGAAGGAGGGAGCCTCAGGCCCCGTGTCCTGGCGCACAGGCCCATAGTCACAGCTACTCAGGAAGCTGAGAAGGAAAGACCGCCCAACCTGAAGAGTTAGAAACCAGCTTAGGCAGCGTGAGCCAGACCTTGGCTCAAAATAACCCTAATGTACTAGGGCTGGGAGTAATGTAGCTCAGTGGTTGAGCATTGGACTGTTCATGGGCCGAGTCCTAGGTCCTGTCACCAGCACTTAGAGAGACAAGACACAGCAAAACACTTCCTGACTTGGGAGGCTGTAAGTCCTTGGCCGGGCCTTGGTTACTGCTGATAAGAACTGACAGCCAAGAGGTGGCCGTGTGGGATGCCAGAATGGTCTGTAGTGCATCATGGCGGGAAAGGTGGGTGTCCTCGACCTTGCATGCACCCCAAGAGAAAGAACAGTCTGTGCCCTGGGAGCTGGCACTCGCTTGCTTGGCAGGGGAGGGGTGTGGCGGCCTGCAAGGACGCTGGATACCACACCTCCACGTCCTTTAGGGAGTTGGGGTCAAGGTCAGGGCTGCTCTGGGATGTGAGCTTTCCCCGGGGGTGCTGGCCAGGTGGGTTAAGAGGTGGCCTTCAGCCAGGCAGGCTTTCCCGCACGGCTGGCTGGAGATGCTGGCAGCTTGGCCCTACGGCATCTCCATTATTTTCATTGAGAGCAGCAGATAGGAGCAGAAAAGTGTTAGAGGGTACCAGGAACGCCGTGAGCCTGCTGGCCCTGCGCACACTGCAGGACAGAAGCCAGGCTAGGAGAGGGGGGATCCCCAAGGGTCCTGGGCCTGGGGACCTGGCCAGGTACAGAGCAGTGTTCCTCCAAGGCCCCGTACTGAAAGGAGATGCTGGGCTGTGTGCATCCCCAAGAGCCACTTCCAGGGTTCCCGCAGGACATGGCACCCGCGTTAAGTAGCGCCAAGAGAGAAGCAGAGCCTGTCTCAGCTTCGCTTTCGTGGTGTAAACCTGAGCGACCTGCGTTGGGGCAAATCGGGTCTGGATCTCTGCCCCTTGGTGTTTGCTTGACAGGACTCGTTTTTGCTGCAAAGCTGCTCCACGTGGGAGCCTGTGGCAGCAGTGGGAGGTGGCTTGGGGCCAGGCCGGGAGGGTCCTGGTGCTGGCAAGGGGGGCTCACAGGGCTTCTCCATGCTGATGGGCTGACGTGTCTCCAGGGAGCACGAGAAGGAGGTACAGAACCGGAAGAGGGGCAAGAGGCCCAGAGGCAGGCCGAGAAAGCACACGGCCATGTCATCCTGCAGTCGCCGCTCCAAGCTCAAGGTGGGTGACGGGCTGACCCCACGTGCCCTCAGGTCACAGGGGCGTGGGGTAGAGGTGCTGCGGTGCACACCTGTAATCTAGCACTCATCTGAGGATCGTTGTTGGAGGCCAACCTGGGCGAGTATGTCGGTGAGACTCTTCTCCCCAATTCACCAGTAACAAAAAAAGACAAAAACAGGAAATAGGAGAGGGGCCTTGAGCAAAAAAGCTAAGCAAGAGTGCAAGGCCCAGTGCCAATGACTCAGAAGAAAGGCAGCTCTCCAGGGTGACTCCCTGAGTCCCTGCCCCTCCTCCCACCCTGAGGTCTTCCCATTCAGGTGATGTCCTTTCCTTACTCTTTCCTGGTGTCCAGCTTCACCGCTGACCGGGACTTCCTCTTAACCCCAGCAGCTCTTCAGGGACCAGAGGAGAATAGGAAGTGTGCACGCAGCAGGTGCTCACAGATGTCGATAAGCAGGACAGCAGCCACAAGATGAGGCGGGTGGGGGGCGTCGGTGGGCTCTGGCCGCCTTGAGAATGTCCTGTTCCCCCCAGAACAACAGGCGGGGCCGGGGGGGGACAGCTCTCAGGTGACAGCTCAGGCCTAGTGGAAAAGGGCCGGGGGCATCATCCCCAGAATGAGGAGCCATACGTCCGGCCACCTCAGAGACCTCTCTGCCAGGAGGGAATTCCCTGCCCACGGCCTACCTGTCACCAGAGCCCTCGTTCCAGCAGGGTTGGTGTGCAGTGGCAGGGCTGGAGCACCTCCAGGCCCTCCAGGTGTAGTGGGGTTTTTGTTTGTTGTTGTTTGGGGTGTGTGTGTGTCGGTGCCCATCCTGGGGCTTGAACTCAAGACCCTGGGCGCTGTCGCTGAGCATTTGCTCAATGCTAGTGCTCTACCATTTGAGCCATAGCTCTTCCAGCTTTTTGTGGCAGGAGGGGGGTGGTGCCAGGTGATTTACTGGAGATAAGAGTCTCACAGACGGGCTGGGAAGGTGGCTCAGTGGTAGAGCACTTGCCTTGTATGCTCAAGGCCCTGGGTTCAATTCCTCAGCACCACATAAGCAAAAAGAAAAAAGCCGGAAGTGGCGCTGTGGCTCAAGTGGTAGAGCACTAACCTTGAGCTGAAGAGCTGAGGGACTGTGCCCAGGCCCAGAGTTCAGGCCCCACAACCGGACCAAAAAAAAAAAAAAAAGAGTCTCACAGACTTTCCTGCCCAGGCTGGCTTTGAACGGGGATCCTCAGACCTCAGCCTCCTGAGTAGCGAGGATGACAGGCGTGAGTCACCGGTGCCTGGCTGTGGGTTTGATGGGGTTGGCAACCTGCTAGAACTAGGCAGTGGTGCTGTGGGGACTGGTGCTGGCCCTGACTCCCTAGAGCACCTTGGCAGCGTTCTGACCTGACGGGCAGCATGGGAAGCTGACAGGAGGCTGAGCTCACCTAGTGCTGGGTGACACTCCCAGGAGAGAAGGGCAGTGGTCCCGCTCACAGGGGGCTTAGGGGACTTGGATTGGGGAGTGAGCAGAACGTAGCTAGGCCACTCCAGCCTGATGCACTGCCTGAGGCCTGTGATCACAGCTACTTTGGGACCAGCCGAGGCCCAAAAGTGTAAGACTACATCTCACACCAGACACATAGGGAAATGCAGACAGCAAGAGAGCAGTCCAGCTTGGTCCAGACATGGAGACCCTAACTCAGAATCAACGCAGAAGGGGCTGGGGGTGGGGCTGGGAAGGTGGCTCAGTGGTAGAGCGCTGGCCTTGCATGCATGAGGACCTGGGTTTGATTTCCTCAGCACCACATAAGCAGAAAAAGCCGGAAGTGGCGCTGTGGCTCAAGTGGTAGAGCACTAGCCTTGAGCTGAAGAGCTGAGGGACAGCGCCCAGGCCCAGAGTTCAAGCCCCACGACTGACAAAAAGAAGGGGCTGGGGGTGTGACTCAAGTGGTACAGTGTCTACCCAGCAAGTGTGAGGCAGTGTTCAAACCCCGGGTATTGACAAAACTCACTTGGTTAAGGACGGAGCTCTGCGTCCTACCTGGTATGACCAGAAGCCCCCAAGGTGTGTGGTGTGCACTGGCTTTCCTGTGTGGGCACCTAGAACTAGCCCGGCACCCACAATGGTGATCTTTTTTTCCTCCCTACCCTGGCTTCATTTGACTCATGGCCTGTTGGTGCTGTCTTTTAGTTGTCGTCCTTGCTACTCAAGAAGCTGAGATCTGAGGCTCGCTGCTCAAAGCCAGCCTGGGCAGGAAAAGAATGGGGCAGATTTTTCTACCCCTGCTGGCTTTGATTCTCTGGATCTCAGTCTTTCTGAGTAGCTAAAACAATAGGAATGAGCCACTGGCACCAGGCTGTATTTGCCTTGAATTCTGCATTCCTGGTGCTCCTGTTAAGTCCTTGCTGGAACAGCCTGGTGAGCAGCTGCTCCCCGTGGGACTCCACCAGTCAGGGGATCGGCTGCACGGTCCCCAGCCACAGTTGTATGGGGACAGGGACTGGGGCCAGGTGGCGAAGGCTGACTCCTTTCCCCTTGTCATCTCAGGAACCCGATGCTCCCTCAAAATCCAAATCCAGCAGCTCCTCCTCCTCGTCCACCTCGTCCTCTTCTTCCTCAGATGAAGATGACGACAGCGACTTAGATGCCAAGAGGGGCCCCCGTGGCCGCGAGACGCACCCCGTGCCTCAGAAGAAAGCCCAGATCCTGGTGGCCAAGCCCGAGCTGAAGGACCCGGTCCGGAAGAAGCGTGGACGGAAGCCACTGCCGCCCGAGCAGAAGGCGGCCCGGAGGCCCGTGAGCCTGGCCAAAGTGCTGAAGACGGCCCGCAAGGACCTGGGGGCCCCGGCCAGCAAGCTCCCCCCGCCGCTCAGTGCCCCTGTGGCGGGCCTGGCCGCTCTCAAGGCCCATGCCAAAGAGGCCTGCGGTGGCCCCAGCACCGTGGCCACCCCGGAGAACCTGGCCAGCCTGATGAAGGGCATGGCCGGCAGCCCCAACCGTGGCAGCATCAGCTGGCAGAGCTCCATCGTCCACTACATGAACCGCATGAGCCACAGCCAGGCCCAGGCTGCCAACCGGCTGGCCCTCAAAGCCCAGGCCGCCAGCAAGTGTGGCCTGGGACTAGACCTGAAGGTGAGGACGCAGAAAGGGGAGCTGGGGCTGAGCCTCCCGGGAAGCAAAGTCCCAAAGACCCCCTGCAGCGGGGCTGCCGAGCAGAAGGGAAGCGGGGCAGGGGGGGCCCCCTACACCCACAGCGGCAGCAAGGCCCCTGCAGGGGGCCCGGGCGCCCAGCCTGCACCCACCCAGGAGCTGAGCCTGCAGGTCTTGGACTTACAGAGCGTCCGGAACGGCAGCCCAGGGGCGGGCCTGCTCACCCGCCACGCCCCCGCCGCCAAGTCAGGCTCCGTCCCCGCCGGGAAGGGCCTCACCTTGGGCAGCGGGACCGCCATGCCCACGGATGGCGGCAAGGGTGAGAAGCTGGCCTCCAGGGCGGCCACTCTGCCCACCCCTTCGGGCAAGAGGGACACCGGGAAGGGCAGTGCCGCCCCCGGCGGGCAGGAGGGCCCCGCGGCCCCGGGCGACGGCCGCAAGGCCTCGGCCGCTTCTGAGATGAGCACGGGCGAAGAGAACAGCAGCTCCGACTCGGACCCAGACTCGTCCTCCCTGCCAGGGGCCGGGCAGAGCCTGTCGGTGTCGGTGCAGACCAGCCAGGACTGGAAGCCCGCCCGCAGCCTCATCGAGCACGTCTTTGTCACCGATGTCACCGCCAACCTCGTCACTGTCACCGTGAAGGAGTCCCCCACCAGCGTGGGCTTCTTCAACCTGAGGCATTACTGAGCGCCACACGGCCAGGCCGCGGGCCCGGGAGCTGTCTCCTCACCGTGCAGGCCCGGGCCCCCCTGGCGATTCTACCTCTTGGCCCCCACTTCCCTCCCGAGTCCTCTTGGGCTCCTCAGCGCGCTACTCTGGCGACGCCCACCCCACCATCCCAGATGTGGGGCCCGGTGACCGGCTTCTAGTCCAGCCGATGTCCCCCGAAGGGACAGTGAAGGGTGCTCTAGCATCTCTGCCTGGCACCAGTTTCTAGAAGAGACTGAGGTGTCGCTTCTGTCAAAGGACGGTGGAGGCCTGTCAGAGGCCTGCGGGAGGGAGGTGGTTTCCGTGCGAGGTGGAGAAGGGGCATCCCGCTCGACTCAGCTGTCGCTGCAGCCTCTGCTGTTGGGCAGGAGCCCCCGTGAGGACCAGTCCCCTCCAACGCCACCCTGCCGGGGCTCGCCAGCCACCCGGGCCAGGCTGGAGGGGCCTGGAGGTGCTCTGTGTGGCTGGAATTGGTCTTGTGAGGAACAGACCAGCTCCTGGCTGCGCCCCACACACAGGTGCTTATTGCTTGGCCTGACGGCTGGGCCTCAGGCCACTGGGCGGGTGTGGGCGGTAGTTGGCTGCCTACCCTGCCTGGCCAATGGGCCATTCTTTGGGTATCAGTGTCCCTGACAATCCCACCCCCGCCTTTGGGGGTCCCGTGTTCTCCCCGGTTAAGCTGTATCCTTGTGCCACTGGGGGTGTGGAATGATGAGCAGCCACCCCCGGCGGGGGCCCAGGAAGTCCACCTCTGCGAGCCTTAGCCTTGGGGGGACACTCCTAGATGCCCTGTGGCTACTTCGACCAGGCGCTGCAGGTCACTGTGTCCAGAGCTGAGCTGTCTGCTCCATGTCTTGGTCACGTTTCCGGCCAGTGTCCGTGGGGATGGGGGGGGCAGACTCCAGGAGTCTTTGTGATGCCAAAAATGAGGGAGGGGTTGGATCCCTAGGCTTTGGGTGGTCAGCATCCATGGTAGATGGGGGGGGGGCACTCCGCTCCAGTTGCCTTGTGGGAAGTTAATTGTAGCCCGAACCACACGGGCTGCAGTGTCCCCCGTGACACCCACACCAAATAGGAAGAGGTGGCCTTTGTGCAGCCAGACTGACTTCAACAGTGTGCCTTTGGAGACCGGTCCACGCCTACGTCTAAGGGCCGCCTTGGGACCATGCCTGCCACCCAGTCCGCCCACCCCACGGGCTCGGGGGCTGCGGAAGGAGGGGCAAAGATGGCGGCCCACCCTTCCTGACCCTAGACGGGGTCTTCACTGTGTCCCTCTGGAGGGGCTGCCAGCCTGCTCGCACCTTGACTACCAGGCATGCGCCATCCTCCTGGCTCCTCTAAGCTTTTTGGGGGCCCTGGGGTCCTGTGAGCTGTGGGAGAAGTGGGGGGGTTGGTCCCTGGCTGTGGGTTGTTGGCCCTGTCCACAGCTGCCAGGTCTCCAAACCCTGACTCGGTGCCTTTCTTTTTTGCCAGCTAATTCAATCCCAAAGTTTGAATCTGTGAATACCTTACTCTCCCAGCCACTTTGCCTTCTTGCTGTGTTGTGTGTCTTTCTTGGTGCTTGTGGCTCCAGCAGTTTGTGTTACAAAGAGCATGTATGAGCCCCATTGGAGAAGCGTATGGGTGCTTGGGGTTGTCTTTATGTTTACCAATAAATAGTCCTTTTTCTATTTTTATTGGCCATCTGTGTACGGAGCGGGCATGGGGGTCATGTCCGCTTGAGTCTTGGTCCTTTGTTTCTGAGGGCCCTGGGTGCTCTGTCTCCGAGAGACCAGCCTGACTTCTTACAGAGCTTGGGGTATTTTTGTATGTATTTTTGGTACCAAAAAGAATGTTCTTTCTTTGAGTTACACTCCAAATTGTGACCCGACTAGGAAGCTCTGGGCCTCAGATCTTGGGGCAAAGTGGGGGGTGGGGGGGACGGACCAGACCTTTGATCCAATGCCAATCACTGGCTGGATTTGTGTGTTTTAATTAAAAATGCCACTTCCAACTGCTTTAAACCATGGCTGTTTGTTTGCCTTAGAGAACAAGGGTGGGTATATTATTACCCTGGGAAAACAGGAGTTTTTGTTGAGTAGCCGGACCAGTTCACGGAGACGCCTGCCCCAGGAAGCCCGTGGTGGTTTGGGCAGGACCTGGAGTGCGGGAGACGGTGGGGTTTCCCAGGCACAACCCCACCTTGCCAGGGTCTTCTCGTGTCTTCAGAAAGCCAGCACTGGCGTAGGTTGCTGAACGTTTTAGACCAATGTTAACTTATTTTCCGGGGAGAAAGGCATTGGGCAGTGGTGCTGGAAGGTTCTTCTTATTGTTCGTTCTGTATATCAATAAATATTTTTTTAAGCTTTTGACGACATGTTCATCGGGAGGGATGCCTGGAGACGAATGGGCCTCGCGTCCCTTGTTTTGGGGGAAAAATTAGTTAGCCATAGCTTGAATCATTGGGGCTGGGGAAGATGGCCTCTGTGCAGGAGCAAGATGACCTTGAAAGCGAGCTCTAGGATGAAAGAGTTCTCTAGCCCTGCACTGAGGGCTCACACCTGTAATCCTAGCTATTCAGGAGTCTGAGGCATGAGGATCACTGTTGAAAGCCAATCTGGGGGGGCTGGGAAGGTGGCTCAGTGGTAGAGCGATTGCCTTGCATGCATGAGGCCCTGGGTTTGATTCCTCAGCTCCACATAAGCAAAAAGAAAAAAGCCAGAAGTGGCACTGAGGCTCAAGTGGTACAGCGTTAGCCTTGAGCTGAAGAGCTGAGGGACAGTGCCCAGGCCCAGAGTTCAGGCCCCACCACCGGACCCAAAAAAAAAAAAACAAGAAAGCCAATCTGGGCAGAAAAGTCTGAGATTTACCTGCAGTTAATCAGCAAAAAGCCAGAACTGAGCCAGGCACTGGAGGCTCAAGCCTGTAATCCTAGCTACTCAGGAGGCTGAGATCTGAGGATCGAGGTTCAAGGCCAGCTTGGGTAGAAAAGTCTGTGAAACTTTATCTCTGGTTAACCACCAGAAAACTGGAAATGGTGCTGTGGCTCCAAGTGGTAAAGCACTAGCCTTGAGCAAAAAGAACTCAGGGACAGTGCCCAGGCCTGGAGTTGAAACCCCTTGACCGACAGAAGAGAGAAAAAAAGCCGAAATAGAGATGTGGCTCAAGTGGTAGAATGCCAGCCTGGAGCAAAATAAGCCAAGCAAGGACATGAGAGCCAGGTGCAGGTGGCTCACCCCTCTAATTCCTAGCTACCGTGGGGGGTAGGGGGGATGAGGCCCTGAGTTCAAGCCCAATTACCAACACACATACACACACACACACACAAGTCCTGTGCTAGCCGTCCACCATCAGAATATTTGTCCAGGTAGAGACAGCATGGTCAGACTGAGGGTGAGGTGGGTAAGCTGGCACTAAGAGATCAGGAATGTCAGCCGTGGATCTGCACAGTGACCCCATAAGAAAACCCATGTCTTCCAGGATGTCAGTTGGGCTGAGTTTGAGAAATCCTGGATTACCGGAAAAGAAAAGGAAAAACATAAATAAAATAAAACTAGGTGGGGGCGGAGGGGGGGGTGCAAATACGGCTGGTGTCCAATGGGTAATCAGAGCTGCTACAGTACACAGTAAATTCCAGAAGAAGCATCAAAGGAAATCAGAATCTTCCCCCTCCCCCACAGCATCCAAAAGGCACCCACTGGACCCCACGGGACACTAAAAGGGCAGACCCAGTGGTGAGCTTCCAGGGAGCCTTTGCCGCCCTCCGCAGTGTCTCCTAACCCACAACTCATAATAAAGAGATGATTTGCTCGTTGGATAAACCTTCCCTGGTCCTTTAAGGTTTGTGCTACCCTCTGCATGAATTTATTCATACATGTCAGCCTCCGGGGAGAATGGAGCTTCCTTTGAAGTAATGAGAGAACTTGGGCCTGGACGTTGGCCCCTGGATGAAAGGCTGACTTGGACCATGGCCTAGAAGTTCTGGTTCAGGAGGGGTCCCCAGTGCAGATGGAAACAGCCCTGTTCTGGCTCAGAGAGGCCTGCCGATTCTTGTCTGGCTGCTGCTGGCGAGACCTCTTTTGTTGCCTTTCCAGGCTCTGTCCTGTTCTGGAGAAGGTGGGTAGGAGTGAACTCAGGAACCCTGTCCTCTGGTTTTAAGAACTGCAGAAAGGGGTTTGTGGGAGGCCAGGAAGGAACAGGTTCTCCTCCAAGCTCAGCCCCGGCAGCCAGCCCATTTCTACAAGGACTGCAGGCAGAGCAGTGTGGAGCCTGGCCCACGGGGCCTTTGTTAGCTTCTGCCTTGCTGATCGGATCCTTGCTGATCTGATCGCCTTCTCTACCGCCTTCCCAGAAGAATAGTCAGGGCTGCGAGGGACTGAGTAGGCCAAACCCAGGCCCTGAGCCAGTCTGACCTACCCCCCTCCCCACCCCCGACAGACAGCGCATGGGTGCCACTGGTGTAGCAGGGCTTGGGGGAACAGGAGCTGGGTGGCTGGACACCTACAGGCTCCAGAGTCAGACGCAGAGAAGGCGCTCACAGGAAGATGGGGCTTTCTCTGCCCCTGCCTGGTACCAAGGAGCCCTGCCTTGCCTGGGGGGAGGGGTGGCGCCTGGGACAGGGGCTGAGGCCTGGCCTCTAGAGGGCGCTCGCCTCCCGTGGAGTCCCAGCCACCGGCGCTTAAGAGGGGGCGGGGAGGGGGGGCGGGTCCGACCGCTGCCAGGCCCTCAGCAGTTGAAGAGCTAGTGCATCCTGGATGGGAGCAGCCGGCTAGCTCCTCAGGAGTACCCAGCTCACAGCACTGTGGCTCACAGCCTCTGGGTCTCGGAAGCCTGGGAGGAAAGCCCAGCCCCAGCCCGCCACCTCCGTCCAGGGTCAGGCTTTCTTCCACTCTGGAACAGCCTGGCTGTTTGTGCACTGGTGTATGTGTGTGTGTGTGTGTGTGTGTGTGTGTGTGTGTGTGTGTGTGCGCCAGATGGTTCCTGAGAGTCACAGCAAAGGGCACCAAGTAGACAAAAAATGGCCCCCATCAGAGACTTTGCAGGGCCGTGAGCACCCACAGCCTTTGTGTGGCCACAGCTAACCCAACCCAGCAGGCCTGCCCTGGGGACCGCAGGGAAGACCCTCACACCTTGGTCCCCAGCCCCCACACCCATCTTCCCTTTTGGGGACCATCTGCCTGGGAAATGCAAACCCACCCAAGAACTCCTGGTCAAACCCAAAGCTGGTGATGGGCAGCTAAGCGGGATGACCATCAGGTCACCTCCCATCTCCCTAGGCCTCACCTACGCCCCCAGAGGATTGGGGAGGAAGCCCCCCAAGGACGGGACCCCTGCAGCCAGCCCCACCCTCCTCCTGAGCCCCCCAGTGCTGCTGGCGGGTGTGGGCAGCCCCCTCTGCCAGCAGTGCTGGCTACTGACTGGCGGACACTAGCTGCCCGCCTGGACCTCAGGGGCAGGGATGGCTCCTTTCCTCCCAGGGCCTCCTGAGTCAAGGGCAGGGGACAGGGGTCTGCAGGTGCACGGGGCGGAGGCTCCTTGGAGGCCGGGCAGTGTCTGTCTGAGGGGGACACTGGGGGTGGACTGGGGTGCGAGGCCATGGTCATTTTGGGTACCTCAGGGCGGCTCTCCTTTGTGGGCTTCACAACCCTGCCCCCACTGCTACAAAAGGGCCAAGAATCACCACCACTACCACCACCCCGCCCGCACACGCACCCAGCACCTTACGCTCTGCCCTCCGCCGTTCATGGCCCAGCCATGGGGTGTCTGCCCATCAAGATGAGCAGGGGGCTAAGGGGGGGTGGGGCGGGGGCTGGGGGGGAGAGGGCTGCGGCGCGGCTGCGGCTCCAGGTTCACTAATCACATCAGCTCACTGTGCGCCGGCTCCAGGCAGGCAGTTGCCTAGCAATACCGTGAATTCAATTCCGCAATCAATAGGCACCAGGCTCTGCATTTGGGGGAGCGCTGATGAGGCTGCTTGGGTGTAGGGCAGGGATCCCACCGCA